TACTTGGAAGAATCCGTAAATGTGTCCCTATAAATTATTTGTGTTTAACCTTTGGCTTTGCATTTATTGATACTAGCATTGAACTACAGCTATTATTATTATTATTATTATTATTATTATTATTATTATTATTACATTTATATAGCACCAACAAATTCCGCAGTGCTTTACAATGGGTGGATTAACAAACATGTAATTGAACCAGTTAAGTGTGATGCACAGGAACAGAGAGGTTAAGGACCCTGCTCAATGAGCTTACATGCTAGAGGGAGTGGGGTAAAGTGACACAATAGGTAAGGGGAGTATTAGGGAAGTAAATTGGTAGAATAGTACTCAATGAAGACTTAGTGTGGTGTTTTTTTTGGAGCCATTAACAGTTTAATTGATATGTTTTTGTGAGTTTTTAATGATTTTTTGAAGGAGTGGAGACTGGGTGAGCATCTAACGGAGAAGGGAAGGGAGTTCCACAGGAATGGTGCAGCCCTCGAGAAATCTTGAATGCGAGCATCAGAGGTGGGAGTACGGACAGAGGATAGACGCAGGTCTCCAGCAGATCGTAAGGGCCTAGACGGGACATACTTGTGTATTAGGGAGGATAGATAGGTAGGAGTAGCATTATGTAAAAATTTGAAAAGAAGAACCAGAATTATATATTGAGCCCTATATCTTACGGGAAGCCAATGCAGGCACTGATAGAGGGGTGAGCAATAGGAGCTGTGGGTGGGCAAGAAGATGAGCCTCGCTACCACATTAATTATAGACTGTAACGGCACAAGTTGGGAGCATTTCAGACCACTAACAAGTGTATTGCAGTAGTTAAAGCAACAGAGGACAGTGGCATGGACCAGCACCTTAGCCGCATCTGGCATTAAGTAAGGGTGGATGCGCGCAATGTTTTTGAGATGGAAGCTACAGGATTTGGCAATCGACTGGACATAAGGCGTGAAGGAGTCAAAGAGAACATCTTGTCAGCAAGCCTGCATGGTGGAGCTGATAGTAGCACCATTAACATGAAGAGAGACAGAGACGGGAGTAGCAACACTTGAGGGAGGAAAGACCAGAAGTTCTGTTTTGGACAAGTTGAGTTTAAGGAAGTGGGAGCCATCCAGTTAGAAATAACAGGGAGACAGTGTAGATTGAGAACAGTAGGGGACCAAGGACTGAACCTTGGGGGACACCAGCAGAGAGAGGTTGGGAGGAAAAGGCAGAGCCCGCGAAAGAAACACTAAAAGAGCGTTGGATGAGGTAGGAGGATCACAAGGAGAGAGCAATATCTCATAGACCGAGATGAGAAGAAGCTGTTGATGATCAACAGTATCAAAAGCAGCGGAAAGGTCAAGGAGAATAAGGATAGAGTAGTGGCAATGAAAGTTGTCAACAAGTTGATCGTTTGATACTTTGGTCAGTGCTGTTTCCACAGAGTGCTGAGCGTGGAAACCAGACTGAAGTGGGTCGAGCAGAGAATTGGACTTGAGGAAGTCTGTCAATCTCACATACACAAGTCTTTCAAGTCTTTCAAGCTATCTATGTTCCTATTATTTACTTGCTACCTACTTTTCCAACTAAGGCCTCAATTTTATATTTTTGGACAAGCTTTTCAAATCATTTCATATTTTTGTGTAAACTTTTAAAATGATTTAATATTTTAAAAAATATTTTTATAAATTATTTTTTTTATATATGATATATTTTTAATATGTTAAATGTATAAATAATAATAGCAGAAATATATACCAGAAACTGGCTTTTTTACATTTTACATTCTAAAAACTCACCACTTTTTTCAATTAAGTTCTTCACAAGGTATAATCTATGACAGATAGTGTTTTTTTTTTATTATTTGATAACTAAAAGGATGGGGATAAGTTAAACTACAGAAAAAAAAATCAAAGCTCAGAGCTTTGACCTAACCAACGCATTCATCTCTATATGAAGTTGTAGCATAACCCCAAGGGCAGGTGCACAGCAGATTACAATGTGCTTTCGAACAATAACATGTCACAATGGATTTTACGTTTTGTAACAAATGTTTTGTACATAACCCAGATAATATTAACCAGAGATGGACTTTGCCTTTAAAAAGCAGAACCTTTGAGTGCATTTACTGCATGACTGATAAGGGCTGAGGCTTTGTCCTCTCTGACCATTTTTCCTCTGTGGTTTAGAACTTGAGATACGCTTGTTAGTTAGCTTTATTTGATGTTCAAACCTTACATCTAGTTCATGCATTTTTAATTGTCTTGCTGTATTGGCCTTCTGCTGGGACGATGATTTGATCACTAATTCTGTTTAGTGTTGTTTATGAGTTCAGTGTGAATATAGCTCTTTGCACCTAGCACTTATCTAATTTTTAACAGATGGTCTATCACATACCGTTAACTCCTCTCTTATAGGCTGGAGAAATATGCCGGTTACATCACAACGCAACACTAATAAACAAACAAGATGAATTAGAACCAAGCATACAGGTAAAGCATGACTGATTTTCATATCTTTGTAAACCCAATGTGTAAGCGTTATCTTTAAACATTTACTGGTAGAATAGAATTGAATTTTAGGCATATATTGGAGGGTGGGTGTCCTTCATCCTCTTTTAAATGGATACAGCTAGAGCACATACTCATTTTATAAATCTATTCAGAGTTGTTCTAGTATTCAAATATTGTATAATAAAGGATGTTATAGTAGAAAAACATGCATTCATATAAACATACCTGGTTTTGTATAATTATTTAGGTTGTATGGTTGCCAATCCACATAAATGACCCTGATGGATTTTATGATTGATAAGTCTATGCAGTATTTCCCATCATGTAGCAAGTTCTTATAGTCGAGGTAGGTTATTGAGAGCTAATTATCTATTGCAAAACACTAACAGATGCACAGTATACACCCCCTTCTTAGTTTGGTGTCATATCAGCTCATTTATTTTGACTATGTTTCTGTGTAACTATTTTACTTGTATGCATTGTAGCTTCATTTATTATAGGTGTCTACAGGATTAGGATAATAATATTTCCTATTAGAAAATAACAATTTGGGGCAATGGGAAACTGAATCCAACTCAAATTTAAAAAAATCTGTAGACCTCAATTTTTTTTTCAAATTTACTTTGTCTTCCCCATATTAGAAATGATGTCCTATGTATTAACTCATTGTATCATTAAATGCAAGTTGACAATATTTGAGATGTCATGTCAGTGTAACCTGTGTGGATAGAATATAATATAACCGACTTAGAAAAAGGAATCTGTAGTTGACTTCCAAATTGTAAAAAAGTGTGTTCTTATATCTCTCATTTAGGCTTAAAATAAGGCTCAATTAAATAATATTTTTACTAAATAAATACATGACATTTTAGTACAGTATTGTTATGCATAAAAAATTAAGCATTATATAGAAGACCCCTTTATATTATATTGTGTGTACTAAAGCTTTATATTATTTGATGCATTTTTTTTTTTTATCTATTTTTTTTTTGTCTTTTTATACAGCAATTATATGGGCCACCTTGGAACAAGCCGGAGGATAAAAAAGAAACAAAAGAACAAACGAGTAGCAATGTGACTAATACAGAAAAAGAGTCACCGTAAAAATAAAAAATGTATAATTTGCAGTCATCTTCAGTTTCTTTTGAGTCCAAAAAGCATGAAGATGTACTACGTTTCTAAAGCATGCTGTTTTTTTCCCATTAAATTATGAATGTTTGTAAACTAGTCTTGAGATTTTTTCAAATGATGATAGATTTGTTAATAGGTTTTTAGCAATAATCAGATGGACTTGAATGTATTAAGAAATGCTTTGTAAAACAACGGATACATTGGAATATGTCGTTCTAGACTGGTTTCTTTTTTGCTTATTACAAATCCATCCTTTATTTTTACATCTGTCTGGCATTGAGAAATTTTATTTCACAGCATATCTCTTCTTAAAACACACATTATTCAGACGTGAAGCTGTCTTTGTCCATAAGTCACTGTGCTTAGCTTAATGGAAGCAGGTTTTAAAATTGACCTGTCTTGTATCAAAGTATTTTCCATCTGTGGTGAACTTGAATTATGAAACATAATATTTCAGCTGACATGTTCATTTGTTCCCACTACTATTATTTTGAACGAGTGCCTACAAGAACATTTTACCATATCAAAATTGCTTCTTAAAACTAAAATGAGAAGATTCTATTTTGGAATTCATGGTTAGAATATTGTTGGTTTTCTAGCAAAGCAACTACAACGAAGCCTCTCTTTTGCAATTTTATGGACTGGTACCTAGGAGCATAAACACTAATCATATAAATAGCCAGTTATTATTTGAACATTTTCAAAACTCATCATAATAGAATATACCAATTAAAACTTTGTAATGTTTATTGATTCATTAATGGTTTCAAAACATCTGAACTAAATTTACAGCAAAATGTTGGACGGTGCCCTTCTTGTTGATGGACATGTAGAATTGAACTAGACACCAAACATTCATATATCATTCAATGAAAGTCTTGAGTTTCTTTTGCAATAAAACAAAAAAGCACAAATTCCTTTTTAATGGATTATCATGTTTTGACACAACTTTTTCAAAACAACACATTGCATATAAATTAAACCTGAATTCGGTTATTTTATTGCTTGAGTTTCATACTATCCAACAATAGCTATCAGTCGGAATCCAAAGACAATTCATTGCATTTTCAGGAAAAGAGGTTAGTTAATAAAAATGCTATTTGCACATCATATAATACATTAAAAACTGCCTACACCTTGTGATTCCAATTTTTAAATCTGCTCAGCATTGCATTTATTTTGATAAAAAATGAATGAAAGCTTTGTTTTAGGTACCAATTAAAGTTTGCATAATCAAACGTAATCAAACAGTTCAAACAAACATTTCTCCATCTCTTGTTCGAACTGCTCGATGATGCAAAATGCCCTCGATGCCCCAAATTATGCAGAAGTTAATAATCTCAATAGTATAAATCTCAGGTTTAAGTTGGCCATTGGAAATCCAAGTTTCTGATTGCCTCTTTGGAATACATATTTGATTTCTCTAAGGGTTTAAAAATGATGGTGTAATTACAAGATCTCTGCCTTCATTTTGACAGACTGTTAGATCCTTAAGAGGTAATAGCTTAGCTACATTAAATATAAATCATTTAGGGATGTTGCAGTAAACTCAAACAATATGAGTGTCAGAGCTGCTTTAATTACAATTATTTGTACAGGTTGTTTTATATATGTAGATAATATGCCTTTTAGCAAATTATTGTCATTTTTATTCAACCACCCAAATGTATTATGGGTGGGTAGGATGGTTTTTGTATCTCATTAACGAGTCGTGTCTTGTCTATGAATAAGATCAAATATTATCTTGCAATCTTTCAATCCATGTGTGTTGACCTTAGTGATCGAATTTTCACAAATTTTATGCAACTTAATTGTTTGGTTTCAACTATGTTTACTACTTTAGTCTGATTATTTGCTTGTTTTGTTTTCTTTTGTAATGTTTAGTAAGCAATTCTAGTGTAGCCGTTAAACATAACAGTGTATTTGATGTTAATGCACGTTATATCATATTTAACTAAGCAATGTTATTTCACTTGAAGTTAAAGGAAATCTGCAATGTTGAAAAAAAATATAATAATAATTATTATTAATGATAATAGTAATAATAATAGCAGTTCTAATTTTTGGAGTTATTGTTTACATACCAGAGGCCCCTCTTCAAAAATAAAACAAAATACATATTACTTACCTTTTTCCACTCTCTCAGCTGCTCCAATACTCACCACTAGACTCTCAGTGACAACAGTCTCCCTTCCTGTATCAACTAAATTGGAAGATGCCCTGCCACTGCTGCAAATGCAACAATCAAACGCAGCAATCTTGGCTATTGCCCAATAGAATGCACCTCATACGTCAACAATAAACTAACACTTCTCTCTGGAAGTGCTCACTTCTTCTTGAAAAATCTTAAAGTGGAGTAAAGTAGTAAGCCCTCCTTACTGTCAGCTTTGGTGAGTATTCCTAAATGTATTAATAAAAGTGGCCAATTCCTTTTGACATCTGCAATTTTATGAATGGGGACAAAGGTGACATGCAGTGAACCCTAAATCCATTCGCAAAACTGAAGTGCATTAGGTGTCTAGATGTCTAGAGTGTCCCTTTAAGACACCTCCGTAAGGCAATACTCTAATTCAAAACACTCCACTGTTTTTTTTAAACAATTTAGTCGATGTGACCCAATGGAAATGTCCATGCATTTATTTCTGTAATTCTTCTTAGGGTGTATATTAAGAGACAGCTTGCAAAAGCTGCAGATTTATTGTCTGTAGTCTTTTCAAGCCCTTTACTTGCCCCCGGCACAGACTTTCAGACTGTGAATACTTAAATCAGAGGTTTCTTATTTTTGAGAATTTCTGTGTTGGAGCTGGGAATATGTGGCTTTCAAACATTTCTCAATAAGCTGTAATACATCTCATTGAGAAGAGGGGAGGCAGCTTTTTAGAGCTGATGGAAGAGGCTGGCTTTCTGATTGACAACAAAGGACATGTTTCTGTGCTGATTTCTATTTAGAAAGCTCCAGACACATAAAGCACTTTAGATGTATGTGTCTAGTGTTTCCCTTTAACATGGCTTTGGATATCCTAGAATACAAAAACAAAAAAAATCACTAAAACAAGTAAAAGAAAATAATAAGTGATAAATATGGAGTGATACCTCTCAACGTGTTACCTCACAAAAAAACGCCCAACACAACTAAGTGAACAAAAAAGTGAAAAGGAACCTAAACTTCAAAATATCCCAAACATACATTGATATACACTTTGAGGAATGTGACAAAAATAAATGTGTTCTACATTCGACCCCTCGGGTGTGATAATCCTTATGCTAATTTTTAGTTTCTGAGTTCTCTATTCCCCGCCTCCACCATGTATTTTTTTGTTATTACTATATTACACTATAAGGACATTTTAAACCATACTTTAATTTTCTTTTCCTGGCTATTATTCGTGGCAGCATTACTTCTGAATAGCTCCACCCTCAGGACCAGAACAGGACAGGAACTAGAATTCAAATTAGATGAAGTGTATAAAAGGTCCCTCCTCCCTTCACACACCAGTCAATTATCAAGCTAATTTCGGGAGGGAGTCAGATGCTGCCATGATTGATAGCCAGGAAAAGAAAATTACTGTAAGTATGGTTTACATTTTCCTTATTCCTGGCTAATCATGGCAGCATCACTTATGGGTAATACCTAAGTTTAACAAACTAATAAGGGGGATAAACAACATCCATTACAACCGAGATTGCAACACTAATTTAGTGCATTTGTTTGAGCTTGTGAACGGAAGACAAAACACCTCTTCCAAAAGAGTCCTAACCTCACCATCTGAGGAAGGGGATTTAGAGGTGATTATTTCAGCTGACTTAAAGGCAGGCAGAGAATGTAATAACAAGAAAGGAGGTTTGCACTAATAATAAAAAGGTGGATGGGCAGCGGCCTAGCAGAGGGTAACCCTCTAACCCGCTATAGTAAGAATGGAAAACAACAGTAATGCAAGGCTGCGCCAAAATGTATCAATGTGGACTACAAATAGTAAAAAGACATATAAATAAAACTTATAAAAGAAAATATCGAAAATAGTCCAAAAAGATTTTAGAAGTTGCACTGTGGCAATAGATGTCTTATAAGGTGCTTTTGGTGATGGGGTCTCTTCTCGGTCTCTTCTCTAGTCCAGTTGGTCTCGTGATATGGAAGACACAAGAAAAGAGACCAATCGTATAGAGTGTAACGGTCAATATATGTGAGATAAAGATATAAATATTCCACTCACATTTAAATGAGCTATAGCCAGTTCAGGTATAACAGGCGTACAGCGGAACAATCCCCGCTTATGGGATATATGGATGATTGTCCTCCGGAGGGAATGGTGTCCAACTCTCAGGAAAAGGGATATATAAAAACAACTAATAGTGCTCACTGTTTAACACGGTGTAAAAGTTGTTTAAATAAATAAATATGTACTTACAAGTGTAGTGCAGGCCAACTGCACTAGGGTAACAGCGTTGGTGGTATGATCCCCACCTCGGAAAGGCTTGTAAGCACGTGGTAAAATCAATTAGATGCCAGGTGAAATAAAATAAAATAGTGTGTAAAAAGATAGTTGGCACAGATAGTAACCAAAATCTCTTTGTTAATTATATAAAATACACAATTAATAAAACCAATTACGCGTTTCGCCACAAAGGCTTTTTCAAAATGGGAGAATGTAATAGAGGAACAGGAAATGCTAGCAGAATGTTTGGTTGTATAGGGAGAGGTATTAGCAGTAGAAAGAGGGAAATGCTCATGCCTTTGTACAGAACACTGGTGAGACCTCACTTGGAGTATTGTATGCGGTACTGGAGACCGTATCTCCAGAAGGATATTGATACTTTAGAGAGAGAGTTCAGAGAAGGGCTACTAAACTGGTTCATGGATTGCAGGATAAAACTTATAAGGAAAGGTTAAAGTATCTTAACATGTATAGCTTGGAGGAAAGACGAAACAAGGGGGATATGATAGAAACATTTAAATACATAAAGGGAATCAACACAGTAAAGGAGGAGACTATATTTAAAAAAACAAAAATGCCACAACAAGAGGATATAGTCTTAAATTAGACTGGCAAAGGTTTAAAAATAATATCAGGAAATATTACTTTAGTGAGAGGTTAGTGGATGCATGGAATAGCCTTCCAGCTGAAGTGGTAGAGGTTAACACAGTGAAGGAGTTTAAGCATGCATGGGATAGGTATAAGGCTATCCTAGCTCTAAGATAAGGCCAGGGACAAATGAAATTGGACAGACTAGATGGGCTGAATGGTTCTTAGCTGTAATCACATTCTTTGTTTCCATGAGGAGGCCAGATCCAATTTATAATGTTTAATAAACATCATTGGAGAAGACCATGTGACTGCCCTGCAGATATCATCTGGAGACACCTCTGCCTAATTTGCCCAAGTCAGAGGGTTATATGAACAGTTTCTCCGAATTCCACATAGCAGTTCAAATAACTAATTTTAAACCTACTCCTATTAGTGCTATTCACAAACAGGCTGTTTACTGGAGTCTTCAGAACAAACAGAGGCTGAACTTTGTCTGGGAGACCCATGGTACACATGGGAAGGTGGCCAAAAAAATAAAAGGTGAAAAATATGAGGAAATTTCTGTCTGTCTGAGGACAGAAAAAAAGACTGGTGTGAGAAGAGAGGAGGGACCCTTTATACACTTGGTCTCATTTTAATTCTAATTCCTGTCCTGGTTTGGTCCTGTGGGCGGAACTACCCATAAGTGATGCTGCCATGATTAGCCCGGAATGTATAGTTTTTGTTTTCATTTGTAGGTTAATTTGGACCTATATGAGGTTGGATTTTTGTCAAATTCCTTCACTGTATATTTGGGATATTTTGGAGTTTAGATCCCATTTGATTTTTTGTTCACTTTGGATATCCTAGAACTGACATATATTTTAGCTGTATAGGCATAATCTTGTATAAGCATAGTATTGAACCATTTTCATTTAATATACCTATTTTTGTCATCTGTGACGTGGTCATAAATATTATGATTTAATAATAAAACACCAAACACAAATGTATTATCCCCATAATATTTATGTAAAGAATGAATGTATACACTAAAAAAAATCATATACATTTTCGTATTTGTAATTTTTAGTAGCCTTGAATAGCAAAATATATACAAATTAGCAAATTTTCCCTTAGTCTGAATGCTAGAGATGCAACCCAAAATATTAATAAAAAGTACTAAATAAATAAAGACAATAATTATAACAAGGTAAACTAAATTACTTTCTTAGATTACATTTTACCATTGGTCACCTTCTAGTATTAAATGCCTGTGGATCAACCCATCCTACAAAAATTATAATCTGTATATATATATATATAAAAGATCATACAGACCAAAATGAGTGTATGAGCAACTACAGAAATTTGGAAGTGAGTAATATTTATTTAAATTTGTATTATTTTATATATATACACACAATTTTTATGGAATATCTGTGTAGCATAGAAAAAGTACTATATACCAATAACATCCTTCTGGACATAAAGTAGCAATGTTTAAAAAAAATAATACAATTTCTGCTGAAATTTTACATCAACAATAATTTTAACTGGAGGAATGACAACTTCATCCTTGAAGGAGTCAGGTATGTAAGAGTTTGAATACAAAATAATGATTTCCAACTTTCTGCTACACTGAAAAAGGTTTATATAATCAGCAGTGATCGGGAAGCAGATCAGCCTCTAAGAGTTTTAGAACATTCTAACATAATTTTGGATTTCTTTTTATACACTGGAAATTTTGTTTTTTTATATAGTTTTTTTATAGTTTTTTTTAATTAAAATTATTTTTTTTAAATGCTATCTGTGCTTAAAACAAATCTGTATGTTTTCTTAAAGGAACACTATAGGGTCAGTAACACAAATTGTATTCCTTAACCAGATAGTGTTAAAAACACTATCTATCCCCCCCTGTCCTCCCTCCTTCCTCCTACATATAGTAGAATTTTACCTTCATTCCAGTCTGCTGCTGCTTGCTCTGCCCCTGATCTGCCTCCTTGGTTGACATCATCAGAAGTGATGATCTCTGCCAATCACAATGCTTTCCCATAGGAAAGCTTTGGATTAGCTGGGATAGTCAATTTGAATCAATGCAGAGGGTAGAGACACTGAATGTCAGTCATACTGTGCAGCACTGACCCAGGAAGCACCTCTAGGAGCCTTCTGAGTTGTGACCAGTGGAGGTATCACTAGGCTGTATTGTAAACACTGCCTTTTCTCTGAAAATACACTGTTTTCTGCAAAAAGAATTCAGGGGATGATTATACTCACCAGAACATCTACAATAAGCTGTATACTATACATTAAGTTATAGTTGTTCTTGTGACTATAGTGTCCTTTTTAATGGTGTAATTAAATACCAGTTCGCTGCCAAATGCATTCACTTACAGGGTTATTCACCAATTGTTGGAAATTTACCAGGAAAATGAAAGCTTTGAGTATATCCTTTCCTGAGTCCCTGGCAGTTTATAGTTTAACAAATAAACCAGTAATCCGCTAAATGTAGGCTTAAATAGCTGCATTGGAAGAATCTCCAATTCAGATGTTTTTCCAGATGGCTATTTCAGCAGAGATTTGGCAATTTTGTTTACAGTCACCATTTAGTCAATATACTGCCATATTTATTATTTACCCATAAACATTATTTATTCCTGCCTCTATAATCTAAGTCCATGGAATATATGTGATTCTATGAAGACGTATGTTTGTCGACCTAGTATATGACAACTGATTTTTTTTCATTTTTAAATCTTTTGTCACATCTTACGAAATGGTGAAATTCTTCAAAGTTATATCCATAGTTTTATCTTTCTTTCTATTCAATTATATCCTATAATAGAACTTTGAGATAAAAGTCATGATAAATCATAAGTAATAGAATCAAGCTGATAAGAAAAAAGTTAAATCAAGACACAACTGGGTCACATTTGTACAAGTGTATTACCTCCAATGTCTGCTGAAATATAAACATACAATATTTTACATTTAGCAAAAAGTATAATTTGGTTCCAATTGCATTTTTTTGTTTGTATTTGTATTTTTATTTTAATTAAGTACAATTATGCTCAATTTAAAAACAATGTTTATTCAACATTTTGGTGTTTTTTTGTCTAGTGTAATTCTACACAAAAATGTAGTGCACTCACTAAACACCAAATTCAAAACTTGCAGTTTAGCAAATTTTTGCATACTTTCTGTGTGTTATGTCTGTCTAGAGAATGTTTTATTGAATTCCTATAAACATAGAATTGTTTATGCATATTTCAAGAAAACAATATAATTCTAAATCTATCTGCCAATTATAAGACATGTTAATGTAGAGGAGTCACTTCTATTTAAATTAGAGGAGACATATGCAATTATACTTCATTTTGAGTACTTATTGAACCTATATACTTTTTTTTTATTTGTACAACAGTAGCAAAATTAAAGCTACAAAGTTTAAAATGGGCATTAAACAAACTGCCAACTTTTCGAGGAAAATCACATCTGTTAAACATAAGAGATGAGAAATGTGTGTATGATAGTATATCATAGTGAAAAGAAACTTAATAGTTTAGAAAATCTCATATAAATGTAATTTTTTTCATACCGTACATCCAACAGTCCCGTATTTAGCAGGACAATCCTCAATTAGGGTTTGTGTTCCAACGTTCCATATTTGTTCTTCGGTGTCCCATTTCAAATGACACCAGAGTAATAAGCACAGTAAGAGCACATCGTTATATGAAAGCATTTCATGTAAACAAAACTATGGCACTAAGCTTTTCAATATCGCCCTGCACATGCACAGCTGTGAGTGGAGCTATCTATTCCAGCTACTGATCAGTCTGGCATGCACCCCTCTATCCATTGTGTAACAGACAAACATACCCTTGGAGCATGCAATTTTCTGTCCCATTTTCATGCCTCTCAATATCGATATGTTGTTTATTATGAAGTTATAAGTAGGGCTTTTGTAAAAAATATCCCTGCTTATACTGATGATGTTTCAATAAATGAAAATCATGAAAGAATGGGATGGGGAAACCACTCACTAAAAGTAGGTGGAACCCACTCACACTCAAAGAAACCTCCTAAAGTTAAAATTTCAGGATAATGGTTTAAACCTTTATTAAGCCGAAAAATAAACAATAAGTACTAAATCCCTGCAAACCCAACTTGTGTATAAAAAGTGATTAAATAAAAAGACAGTGATACACCTTTAAAATCCTGGGAAGGTCTGTTCTAAATACCACAATTATGTATACGGGGTCCAAAATAACATATAGTAACGATCCTTAAAGTGATTAGATAGAAATGTAGAGACCTCCGTATTGAAGGTATTATTATTATTTTATTATTATTTTATTATTTATATATAAAATATATTGGTTGTTCAAGTCAGGGAAATATGCAGATCGTAAAGAATCTGCAGGTATCACAGTTATGTACTAGAGGTCCACGGATACACAATAATTATCCTAAACGGATTAGTAAAAATGTGGAAACCTCTAAAGTACAGGTATGGTGGTATATTCAAAATCTGCAAATTATACAGACTGTATAGGATGCAAGCAGGAGTAACAGGGATAGTGGTTATAACAAACTCTGTTGCCAATCTTTCAAATAAAATAGTGAGGAGTTGGACAGAGTATCAGGACAGGAAAAGCAGAGGGGAAGTGAAAAAAATACACACCCACATACTCAGTAAGTAATGGAAATCATGTTAAAGGATAGGATTGTTGAACATGTAAAAACGCATGGATTTCAAAATCAGAGACAACATGGGTTTACTTCAGGGAGATCATGCCAAACTAATCTTATTGATTTTTTGATTGGGTAACTAAAATAATAGATCAGGGTGGTGCAGTAGACATTGCTTACCTAGATTTCAGTAAGGCTTTTGACACTGTTGCACATAGAAGGCTTATCAATAAACTGCAATCTTTAAGTTTGGATTCAGATATTGTTGAATGGGTAAGGCAGTGGCTGAGTGACAGGCAACAGAGGGTTGTAGTCAATGGAATATATTCGAAGCTTGGACTTGTCACCAGTGGGGTACCTCAGGGATCTGTACTTGGACCCATTCTCTTTAATATTTTTATTAGTGATATTGCAGAAGGTCTTGATGGTAAGGTATGTCTTTTTGCTGATGATACTAAGATATGTAACAGGGTTGATGTTCCAGGAGGGATAAGCCAAATGGCAAATGATTTAGGTAAACTAGAAATATGGTCAGAATTGTGGCAACTGACATTTAATGTGGATAAGTGCAAGATAATGCATCTTGGACGTAAAAACCCAAGGGCAGAGTATAGAATATTTGATAGAGTCCTAACCTGAACATCTGAGGAAAGGGATTTTGGGGTGATTATTTCTGATGACTTAAAGGGAGAGGCATTAGCAGTAGAAAGAGGGAAGTGCTCATGCCATTGTACAGAACACTGGTGAGACCTCACTTGGAGTATTGGAGACCGTATCTCCAGAATGATATTGATACTTTAGAGAGAGTTCAGAGAAGGGCTACTAAACTGGTTCATGGATTGCAGGATAAAACTTACCAGGAAAGGTTAAAGGAACTTAACATGTATAGCTTAAAGGAAAGACCAGACAGGGGGGATATGATAGAAACATTTAAATACACAAAGGGAATCAACACAGTAAAGGAGGAGACTATATTTAAAAGAAGAAAAACTACCACAACAAGAGGACATAGTCTTAAATTAGAGGGACAAAGGTTTAAAAATAATATCTGCAAGTATTACTTTACTGAGAGGGTAGTGGATGCATGGAATAGCCTTTCAGCTGAAGTGGTAGAGGTTAACACAGTAAAGGAGTTTACGCATGCGTGGGATAGGCATAAGAATAAGGCCAGGGACTAATGAAAGTATTTTTAAAAAATTGGGCAGACTAGATGGGCTGAATGGTTCTTATCTGCCGTCACATTCTATGTTTCTATGTTTCTCAGTTTTCTAGATTTAAATCGTACATAAGTGATTCAATCATAGGTATATGTAAAAACTATTGCCTCTATAGTCCTGTCCAATTCTAAATGACTGGTATATATGCTCCCAAATCATGGGTGTAAAGCTACAAGATTAAACAATGTTAAGGGAACATATAGTTGCTGAAGTAGTGCTATCAGTGTTAAATAAAGCTATATCTTAGTTTGGTTCCATAGTAGCCTTAAGCACAGCATCAACCTTAAATGTCATCCAGAGGGCTAATAACCAAGTCTACTCGCTGGTAATATCCTCCCAGTTATGAATATAGAAAGGCTATGTGGCCACGCATAGGTCAGCCTACTCCCCCCTATATAGCTACAAGGCACCGTCAGTATAGGAGCTCAAGCCCCCGGTCAGGCTGTCTTACTCGAAATAAATAGCAGGCGGTAACATAGTATTCCTTTGCTCACTATCTAACGAGAAGACTAGTCAGGAATCCCCCACTGCTGCTTCGAGGCAGCCTAACTATCTAAACCCAGTCAAACTCTGGCGAGCATACTCAGACAGGAGTGGGTAAATAAAAAAATAAAAAAATAAATCAGAATAAGTGCATCGGCATAAATACTAGCCCATAAACGCTAAAGGGAATATCTTAAACCTGTGTCAAATCAATAAGAATACACAAAACTTCCTTTAAAGTAGGAACATAGTGTAAATGTTGAAACAGTATACATGAATATAAAATGAACAAGAAAGATAATGTGATCATTTCAGTATAAATGTACTTGTGCACACATCAGTAATCCAAACGGATATTGTCATCACTATGCTTATTTTCATTTGTATACACTGCTAAAACCAATGTCCCAAAGCATTTCATTAAAAAAATTCTTCAAGTGATATTAAGAAGCAAGCCAATGATAATGCAATCTTGTTGCAAGAAGAGGATTGTCACATTATATTAATAATGCATTCCGTAGCTTGTTTTCACTAACGTTTTATTACATTTACTGTGTAAAGTTTAAAGCTTGCTTGTGATCTTTTAATTAAAAGTCTATTTAATATTTATTCTAGATTTCACCTGGACACTATTTATAGATATTTTACAAATTATCTATCAAAATAATAAAAATGCAACATTGCCTACATCAATAACATTACCAATAAAAGGACATTATAGTGTCAAAATAAAAAAAAATATGTATTCCTAATGCCATAATCTTCATGTCCCTAGTTTTAGAATAATAATAAAAAATATTTTATTTACCTTCTTTTTTTCCCTCCGCCCTATGTCTCCCTTGGTGCTGCCACCCACTCCTTCTTCGGTGACAATAAAATTCAATGTGATACTTAGAGTTCGCTGTAATCCACCAATAATTCTCTGATCATAGAGAATCATTAAATGCAATGATTCTCTATGACAAGCCATGACGGCACTGTGATGTAACAGTATACCTGGATATGAAAGCAAGGAAGAAAATAATAGTCGTATCTCTCTAATTCAGGTGGCTTAGTGGCATGACTTATTATTATTATGTTATTATTTATATAGCGCAAACAAATTCTGCAGCGCTGTACAATGGGTGGATGAACAGACATATAGTTTTAACCAGACAAGTTGGACACACAGGAACAGAGGGGTTGAGGGCCCTGCTCAATGAGCTTACTTGCTAGAGGGAGTGGGGTAAAGTGACACAAAAGGTAAGGATAGTATTAGACTAATGACAGTTGCAAGGGTGGAATCAGTCATGAGCTATTAACAGTTTAATTCATACGCTTTTTACGAAAAAGTGTGTTTTTAATGATTTTTTGAAGAAGTGGAGACTGGGTGAGCATCTAACAGAGGAAGGAAGTGAGTTCCACAGGAACGGTGCAGCCCTTGAGAAGTCTTGAAGGCGAGCATCAGAGGTGGGAGTATGGACAGAAGATAGATGTACGTCTTCAACAGAGCGTAAGGGCCTAGACAGGACATACTTGTGTATTAGGGAGGATAGATAGGTGTGAGAAGCATTATGTAGAGATTTGAAAGCAAGAACCAGAATTTTAAATTGAACCCTATATCTTATAGGAAGCCAATGTTAGGACTAACAGAAGGGTGAGGTGTGGGAGGTGCGGGCGGACTGAAAGATGATCCTCGCAGCCGCATTCATTATGGACTGTAACGGCGTAAGTTGGGAGCACATAAGACCACTGAGAAGCAGATTACAGTAGTCAAGGCGAGAAAGGACAGTGGTATGGACCAGTGCCTTAGTTGCAGCTAAGTAGGGTCGGATGTGCGCAATGTTTTTGAGATAGAAGAGACAGGATTTGGCGATAGACTGAACATGAGGCGTGAAGGAGAGGTCGGAGTCGAAGAGAACACCTAGGCAGCGAGCCTGCGTGGTGGAGCTGATGGTAGCACCGTTGACTTGGAGGGAGACAGACACAGGAGTAGCAACACTTGAGGGAGGAAAGACCAGAATTTCAGACTTGACCACATATTGCAATAGCAACAATTTTGACCCAGATCTTCTAGCAAAAACATATTATTCCCTTCATTAAACACTCCGCAAGTGCATATAAATGATATAACCAAAGCTCTTGAAGAAGGATTTAGCGCTATGATTATATTGCTAATGCTATTTCAGCATTTCAAGTGATTTTTATGTAATCTGTTTACTTAAACTTCTCGAGCACAAGCTCACTTGAGGAAAAGTACAGAATACAAAATAATACACATACAGTAATATTGACTGTAAGAGTAAATAAAAAAAGTAAATAAGAATAAATTAACGCTTTAACCCCTTAAAACCGGAGGACGTACAATTACGCCCTCTAATAGGCGGCTCTAAACGCCGCCGGGCGTAATTGTACGCCCTCCGGTTTTTGTTAACTTACCCGGTCGCCGGCGGTCCCACGCCGGCGATCGCGGTGGGGGGGACTCCCAGGGAGCCCCCCCGCGGCAGATCCTTCTCCTCCGGTGCTCCCCGGCCATGTGAGAGTGGGGTCCTAGCGAGGACCCCACAATCACATGGCCGGGTAGGCTGCCTCCTGCATTGCCAGCAGGGGGGCTGCCTGTAATGACAGGTGGTCCCCCTGCTGGCTGGAAATAAAATTAAAATTACATTTATTGGTGTAAAAAAATAATAATATATACTTAGATCATATGTATATATTATATATATATGATCTAAGTATATATATACACATATACATACACACACGTACACCGTCTAGGTGTATTTTACTATTAATATATATATAATTATATATACATATTAATATCAAATTACACGTAGACTGATACTGATTAAATATATATATAATTATTGTTATATATATATTTATATATAATATAAAAAAAATAAAAATGTAAATACGTTAAAAATAAAATTAAAAAAATAATTAAAAATAAATAATTAAAAAATATATAGATGTGTGTTATTTCGTTCTAACTGTTTTGTGAAATTAATATATATATATATATATATATATATATCAAAATACACGTAGAACGAAATAATATATATCTATATAAATAAATATATACGTATATATCACTATATATATACCTATATATAAATAAAAATATTTAAAAAAAATTATATAGATATATACATATATATACATATACGTATATATATACATATATTAATTCTACATATATATTTATGTAATATTTTTACATAATTAGGTATCTTAATTAATTACAATTAGCAGGACCTGCCTGACAACCCATGCCGAAAGTAAAGGGAATTTAATTTGCTGGCACTATATTTAACCCTATAACTTTCCGAGACACCATAAAACCTGTACATGGGGGGTACTGTTCTACTCGGGAGACTTCGCTGAACACAAATATTAGTGTTTCAAAACAGTAAAATGTATTACAACGATGATATCGCCAGTAAAGTGAAGTTTTTTGCATTTTTCACGCACAAACAGTACTTACACGGACGATATTATTGCTGCAATACTTTTTACTGTTTTGAAACACAAATATTTGTGTTCAGCGAAGTCTCCCGAGTACAACAGTACCTCTCATGTACAGGTTTTATGGTGTTTTCAAAAGTTACAGCGTCAAATATAAGGCTTGTGTTTCATTTTTTTTTCATATTAAAATTCGCCAGATTGGTTACGTTGCCTTTGAGACCCTATGGTAGCCCAAGAATAAAAATTACCCCTATGATGGAATACCATTTGCAATAGTAGACAACCCAAGGTATTGCAAGTGGGGTATGTCCAGTCTTTTTTAGTAGCCACTTAGTCACAAACACTGGCTAAAATTGGCGTTTTTTGCATTTTTCACACACAAACAAATACTAACGCTAACTTTGGCCAGTGTTTGTGACCAAATAGCTACTAAAAAAGACTGGATTACTACCCCATTTGGTAAATACCTTGGGTTGTCTACTATTGCAAATGGTATGCCATTATGGGTGTAAAGCTCTATCTCCGGCTACTATACAGTCCTCAAAGGCAACTCAACCAATCTGGCAAATTTCACCTCTAAAATGTGTCGCCATATATTTGACCCTGTAACTTCCTGCA